TTACTGGAGCCTGGAAGGGCTCACTTCTGATGCCTGAACCTGCTTCAAGCACATGATGTCTCCTGCATGCCCGACAGCCAACCTTTGATGCAGGTGCCTTATTCAGCCTGCTTGGGCACCCAAGTGAATCTCCATCCTCCATCCTCATCCCTGCGCACAAAGGCTTGTCCCTGACGGAAGGTGTGTGTCCTCAGGTTGCGGTGAGGACTTAGAGATGTTGTGAAGGCCACTTCTGTTTTGTTGGGTGAAAAATCACTAGTCAAATAAGGCAACCCATAGGCTGGGAGGGAGGGGTCACTTGGCATTGATGAAGAGACACATGGTGCTGAGGAAAACTGAGGAAGGAAGGGAGAGTCCTCACTGTGTGGATGGGTACTGCTGTTAGCTGGAGGCAGGTGGCTGCAGTGACATGGTGCTGCTGCTCCTTCCCTCTGGCCATAGTCTATTGCTTCTCCAGGGCTCAAGTAGTACATGTCTTTTCCAAGGTCTGAGGACAGGGCACTGTAGTTAGCTGAAGCTTCATCTATGGTGTTGACATCTTTTAATCCTAAAGTCTGCAAGACCCAGCTGTCCACAGCAGGGCTGGGTTGCTCTTCACAGGCAGTGAATTCATTAAAGAGGTTCCTTCTAGCTTTGGAAGCATGGAGAGTTTCTTGAGGAACAAAACAGTGGTCCTCTTTTAACCTTCTCTTGGTGCTTTTGAGAGTAGCACAGTTTCTTTGGCTGTGGTAGGATAGCAGTTTCTATTAGAGAGAAAAAAAATAAATAGGGAGAGAGAAGATTAAAATATGAATTTCTTGCTACCTGGTTCTGATCTCTGAATGTAGATGGACAAAATTGTTACTACTGTCTTTATAAAATATACATTTTCTTCTACCTCGTGCTTAAACATATGGATATGAATAACTACTTCATGTTTTTACAGCTTCTGTAATGACCCAGGCCCTCAAAGAGAAGAATTTGAGGATGTCAATAAGGCCCATGCTTTGATGGTGGTGTCCCTCAGTAGGGTGTGAAAAGGGAGCCTCAGCCTGGCTGGACAACACTCTCTGCGCTGCTGCTGCCAGCAGCACTGGGCAGGTGAGTGAGCGATGGGGGGGAGGTGGCAGCCTGACAAAGGGGGACAATGTGAAGGTAAGATGTATTAGGGAAGGTGTGATCCTGGCCAGGCTCAGAGCAGTAAACTCTTGTGGCTTTGAGCTCATTAATCCCCCTCACCTGCTATTATCCCAGGACAAGGGCTCTTCAGGTATCCAGGGATGGTCAAAGGAAGGCAGGAATAACAAGGAAGCTCACCACCAGGTCATGAATTCACTGCTCAGCCAGCTCCTGTGGTGGTTTCACACTGGGCTTCCCTCACATGACACAGAGGGCTGGACACATGTCCTGCTGTGCCCAATCAAGGTGACTTTTTCTACTACCAAAAGCCAGGTCTTGGTATGGAATGGGGAGGACATGTTACACTGTCAACTGGGAACAGGATGTAAAAGGAAAGTCTGCTAGTCTGTACAGGCTTTTTCCACTGTGCCAAATCTACAGAGTTGAGAAAATAAATGATAGTTCAGTTTCATGGGTAGGACTGGAATAGTAAAGTCTTTAAGCTGACAAGAGGCAATTATCTTTAATTTCTTTTGGATGAGAGAGAATCAAAATATTTAATTAAAAAGATCCCACTTCACACTTAGCTTAACAGAAAGTTTCACCCAACCTCAACTGTTTAAATTTGTATTTCAACTTTAAAAAACAGACTTTTAAAAATTAATAAATTTGAAAAAAACAGATCAGTATTCTAATGTAAATTAACAAAATGTATCACAGGAAGATGGCAAAATGAAAAAAAAAAACCAAAAAAAAAGAGAAAAATTAATTCTTATCAAAAGGAATGATTGAGAAAACAGGCACATTCATGTGTTGAAATTTGAACTTTTTGCTGAAAAAAGCATTAGATGGAATAATTTTATCTTGCTTATTAACTTACTTAAAGATAACTCATAAATCAAACTTAATTATGCCATGGGCTATTCTGTCTCCACAGTCTGAACCTGATAGGATGTCATTCCTGGGGGAAATCGTCACACTAGATCCATGACCAGTGATTTGGCAGCTCTGTGAAGTTCATAGATCTCATACTGCAGGTCATCTACACTCATAGAGTTTCTCTATATTTAAATGGCATGTACCTATTTAACCCATTTCACGTGCACACATCTACACAACAGGTTTGAACACAATACCTTGGCTTTTTCTTCTAAACACTTAATCAGGGCAGAATTCAGGTATTGTCGGAGGTTATTATTTTCTTCGTGTAACCTAGCAAGTTCCTCTTCCTTCTGAAGCAAAGTATCTTGAAGCTGTGGAATAGAGATATTGATGAATAGATGTTTACTCTGTAACTTAATACCAATTGCCCTATGGTACAAGCTGCTTGGATTTGATGATCTGGGTGTTTGTTTTGTGAACTCAACGCACCCCTTCCAGCCTCTTTTCTCTGCACATCTAAGTTGCAGGACTGTTCAGTTCTCACTTTTTACTTCCTTTGTGCTTTAGCAAGTGTTTGAGAAGATTAGTGTCAAAAAAACCCCTGTAACCATGGAATAATAACAGAAAATAATTACAGGTAACTCTGTGAACAGCCAGAAACTGTTATGGGCATGACACCAGCTGCCAGGTCTTCTCCTGAAAGGCAGTAGGCATCCCTTTGCACCCCTCCCATTCCTATTTATAGTTGGCTGGTGGAGAAAAGGAGAAGGAGGAGCTACAGACTAGCAATTTATGGAGATAAGAGTGCAGAAATGAAGATGCAACTGCTATTCCTACTCAGGGATCCTTTCAGTCCTGGACCCTACTGAGCCAGTCTCAGTACATACACAGAGCTGAGATAATCATTCGTCCCAAGAGCTGAACAAGTATGTTTTCATTTGCAAACACCTGAAGATTTTTTTTTCATGGGAAGTCTAGGAACTTGCAGAGATTTTTGCCTCCTAGTCATACTTCTGGGGACTCTGTTAGGACAAAGGATCTACTGCCAAGGACCCCAGGCATCTGCTGGCCACAGACTGAAAAGCAAACTTAAATGACTGAGGTAGAGATGAAGAAAAATGTCTGAAACTGGGGTTTGATTCCAGGGACCTTGAAGATAATACATGACTTTCCATTGACTTCAGTGTATCAAAATATAATTTCAAGTTATTTGATCAGAGTGATCTGTCTTGGATTCCTTCATCTATGACTGTTCAAGTTAATCCTGCCCCTCAATGGGGTTTAATGAAAGAGGAGAGAAGATAAAGTTTGAAGGAATGGTTCATCCTTCATAAAAGTAGGTAATTCTGATGAATTCATTTCTTACTAAGGTAATCCTTGTGCACTCCAGAAGGGAGACACTGTAGTTTTAGTCAACAGCATGAGGTTGTGCATCATCAGAACCTGAGGGACTCCCTGATCATGAGCTGGATCTCTAGTGCTAAAAGGCAGAAGGGAGAGGTGAAGGAGGAACCCCACAACAGTTGCTCCAGTTTAACAGGACAGAACATAGCAGAGAATTACTCCAAGCAAGGTACGAAACCCACCCAACCAAAGCTTTTTTTCCCATATCCGAGGCAGTGCGAGGGAGATGTGCCATAAACCAACCCGGGGGGCGCAGCCCACGACACAAAGTTCAGAAAGGAGCACACGGAGCCTTTACCTGCTTGTTTCTGTAGAGCTGGGAGGAGAGCTGGTCTCCCTGCCACGCCGCGTCCTGGGCACCGAGCTGCGGGCTGCAGAACTGGCCTGAGGGCGAGCAGACCCCGGGGGTTATTATCCCGCTCCCCAGCTCGCCCAGCCCGGCTGCGGGACAGCGGCCGGGCCAACCCCCTCCCCGGGGGCCATGGGCTCGCACTTACCCGCCGGCCGGGG